ATTTTTTAGTCCAAAGAGACAACTCAGAGAGGTAAGATTGGAGGCAAAAGGAAGGCCCAGAACATCCTGAACACTGAGAAGGGGAGTCCCAACGTGAGCCTTCTGGGGTCCGAGGGTGGGAGAAACCCGGGCTGGGAAAACCCGCCTAGGTTCACAGAATGCTACTGAGGGGCCACGATCAGGGATGAATACTTAAAGTTGTAACCACTCCCAGCTCAAGACTCAGGCCAGCTTCACTCACGTCAGAGGGAAGCTCAGAAGTGCCCTGTGCCCTTGGAACTAACTTTCCATCACCCTCTCTAGAAGTGACCTTTTAAAAAGTCTTTAGCACTGTGTTTTCCAAGCACCTGGGTCTGAAAGCAGGGTCTCGGAGGACAGGACAGAAAGGAGAGTAGCTTCCACGCGTCTCTCCCGCTTCTAATCCTCCTGGTTCAAAACTCGGTGGGACAGCCTGGGGTTGGGAAACTGTCTCCCCTACCCTTCCAGGCTCCCGGCACTCTTGGCCTCCCAAGACAGTGTGGATTTGCAAGCTACAAGAGCTGAGGTGTAAATGTGTTCCTTTGATCTAAGACGTAAATCATGTCCCGGGTCACTGTTAGCCCCCTGCTCCGCCACCAGTTCTGTGAGCCTGTCTTCCGGTTCAGGTACCCTTCCTGAAGGAACTGGCTTCAAATCCAAGGCCGAGGTGGGCACTGGCTACATCAGTCACAGGAAGTAAGGGACCCCTTCTAAAGATTTTCTTCAAGTGTCTGGTCCTGGAGAGTCTGGCTTCTATTCACAGACTCTGAGAACTTCTCTGAGGCACTAGTGGCATGGTGGGATCCAGCACCAGAGCAGAAGCACTGATTTGCAAGGACTCACTTTCCCATCGACTAGTGGGTCCCACCGTCCAGCCTGAGCTGGCAGGAGCGCTGCTCAGAAAGCCATGTTCAAGAGGCCGGGCACTCTTCCTAGAGCTCCTGCCAGTCCCTCATCCAGCTTTAAGTATTGGGTTAGCGACAGCTACTTCTCCAAAAGAGAAGAGGGACACAAGCCAGGGCCTGCTTGGCCTCGCAAGGAAGATGAGAGGAAAACCAGGCCCTGGTTGCCTAACGTCACGTGTGAAAAGCTGGTAGACTCCCACACAAGTCGAGGCCTCTTAACTCTGTCGTGTGAAGGGCCCTGTGTCCTTCCTCGAGTCTCGGCTGTCCTGTCCGTCCCCCGCTGTGTATACGGGCTCGCAAGACCCCTGGAAAAGGCTCCGTCCGGACCATGCTTGGCTGCGCAGTGGCCAGCACGTGTCCTAGCGTGCGGAAAGTGCTGCTATCAGCTAGGCTTTGCTCAAGGCTCATGTGGCCCCAGCGACTGTAGAACACGCAGTGAGAGCCCATTTCTTTCGCAGACATGCGTATGAAAGCCCGGCTGTGGGGACAACCAGAGGCCGGGCTGTGGTTCCCGTGAACCTGTGCTTGTGAATTGTTATTTGTGGACCAGATTTGAGGCCCTTCTCCACGAAAGGGCCCAGGCTGTAGAAGTGTCATACCCGCTCAGTGCAGCATCTTAACCAGATGGAGGAGGACAGCAAAGCCAAGTGTCCTACTGCCAAGTGTGAGAGAGGCCCACTTATGCAGGTACCAACAATCCAAGTGACACACACGCAGCCTCTTAAGCGCTCGTCAACACACGGTGACGAGGACACATTTGGTGCCGTGTCAGATGCCCAAGCACAAGTAGGGAAGGAAGACGGGTCAAGAGATTAAGTCTTGTTGTACTGATCTTGGCTATGATAAAAAGAGTTTTGAACTAAGACATCCAGGCCTTCAGATTTTGCAGGAATCCCATGGAGGTTCGTGAGGGCCAAAAAAGGGGGTCGCAGGGACTGGGAGGGCAGACGGAAGTGGAAACCAAGTGCAACACACATGAGCCACGAAGCTGGAGGCATGGTACCTGGTGAGTCATTGCGGAGTTTCCTGGGGAAGGGGGCCTCTGAAACAGAGAGAGAGAGTCTCTGGTGGTTATCCTCCGCCAACGAGAGGGAGTCCTCTAAGTGCTTTTTTAATCATTAAAGGCATTCCCTTCGATGAAATGATCAAAGGCACTTCTAAGTCAACCTGGCAGAGAAGCACGGGACACCAAGAACTCTGAGGCCGGCACGCGTAAGCTGTTGGTTCAGCTAAGAAGCTCACATCTGCTGGTGTGGCAGAGGCCGGGCCCAGCTCTTTAACATGCGCTCACGTTGAGGTTTACCCGGTCGGCACGACTATGAAACTCGCTTCGCATTTCCTTGTTCACTGAGAGCTGGCCAGGCTTGCTAACCTCACTCACGGCTCTAGTGCTGGACTTGAGGTTTTGCACGTGGGACCCAGAGGACGCAGGAGGGTGTGACCGCTCTTGGCCCTGCCTTAGGGTATGCTCGTACCGGGAGTGTCAGAAATAGTCTGTTCCATACTCGCCTGTAGGCCCTGAGGAGGGTCAGCTGTTGGGGGGCAGAACCCACAAGGTATGTTGAACATGTGCTAAGAGAATCAGGGGTCCTGACCACAGGGAGCAGTGACAGCCACTCTGGCTGACTGCTTCCCCACCCCCCGGCCTGGCACTGAGGAGGGCAGGGTTCAGTCACCAGCCAAGCAAATTCTGGAGGGGAGAGCGGGGACAGCTCCATGTGAGAACAGCTGTCTTGCTGACCATCTTCCTGGGTGTTGCTCTCAAGCCCCTGTTGGACCTGAGAGGTTACTTCTTGTTTCTGTTTCACTGGGGGGACCCACAGGCCCTCCCCAGCCTTGTGCGATCTGGGGTCTCCTTCCCAAAGCCCTGTACCCCACGCCAGCCATCCTCCCCCTTCTGAAAGGGGTTTGGGCTGTCCCCTCATCACCTGCCTGCAGTGATGCTCAGAGTCTGGAGTTGATAATGGCGGTGGTTTCAGATGGTTCCTGGGCGTGCCCCTGGATAACTCGATCGCACAGTGAGAAAAGTACTCCGTTTCCCACTCTTTTTAAAATACATCTCATTATGTCAGGGACGGTCTATTTGGTGCTAATGTCATCTTCTGTCAGTCCCTTGTCAACTGAGAAAGAGGGCTTCTGGTCCTAGTCATCAACTTGTAGTCAGAAAAGGAAGAATCCATTACTGTTTTGTTCTCACTGTATTTTAATTTCGTTGTGACCTGTTGCTGCTGGTGATGCTGGTTTAACAATACAGGGATGGTAAATTTTATTTGCAAATAGATGTGTTCGTGATTAGACCAGTTAATTTCAAAGACACCGTGAAGTCAATGCTGGTGCAGTTTGTAAAAGGCTAAGGCAAAATGGCCAAGGTGGTATGAGAATGAGTTTAGGGAAACATCAGCTCTGACTCGGTGATTGAAGGTTTGTGCCCAGCACCATCCCAGACACTAGGGATGAATAAGCAGACAGAACCTCTGTGCTCATGGGGCCAGAGTGAAGGCTGCCAATGAGATAAGTAAATAAACAGCAGGTTACATGGTGACAGATCAGTAAGAGAACTGCAGGGCGTGAGGTTGGAAGTTGTAGACAGGGTAACCTGGGTGTGTAAATGCCTGAAGGAAAGGAAAGGGAGGGATCCAGCTATGCCAAGAGCTGGGGGAAGATCCTTCCAGGCAGCGCGAACCACCCGTGCCAGGGCCCCGGGCAGCATGTGTAGAGGCAGAGGGCTCATTTAGGAGGCAGTGGACGGAGATCACGTAGGGCCTGGTGGAACCGACCATCATAAAGGTGTTGCTTTCAATCTGAATGAGGTGGAAGCCATTGGACGGTTCCAAGCAAAGGGGGGTTGTGACTCCTATCTATTTCAACAGGATCCCTCTGGCTGCCATGTTGAGAACAGACTATAAAGACGGAGTATAAACACAAGTGAAACACAAGCTGTGAAAGTTACCTAGATGGTAGGAGAGGGTAGCTTGGATGAGGATGGCAAGAAACATTTGTCTCTTGGATTGTGGATGTACAGTGTTGTTTTTTTTTTTAATTTTTTTTAAGTTTTTATTTTTTACAGAGAGCATGAGCCGGGGAGGGACAGAGAGAGGGAGACACAGAATCCGAAGCAGGCTCCAGGCTCTGAGCTGTCAGCACAGAGCCTGATGCGGGGCTCGAACTCATGAACTATGAGATCATGACCGGGGCTGAAGTCAGACGCTCAACTGACTGAGCTACCCAGGTGCCCGGATGCTCAGTGTTTTTAAGGGAAAGTTGATCAGATTCCATGGCAGATTGGATGTTATATATAAGGGAGAGGGAAAAAGAAAGAGCACAGATTAGTGGACTGGGTTAACAGCAGCTTTATCAGTCCAGTTGCTGAGCTGGCAGAGACCGTGAGGGAAGCTGACTTGGGGGTGAAGGGGTTCAGCTCAAGGTGTAAGCTGCCTGTGAGGCATTGAGGGGAAAGGGCAAGCAGGTCTGGGGTTCTAGGAAGAAGTCTGGGCCAGGAAGCCACACACTGTGGGTGGAACTCAAAAGGCACCAGGCTGGGTGAGGTCACCTAGGAGTGAGCAGAGAAGGAGATGAAGAGAGAACCAAGATGGCGCCCTGGGGCAGGCCAATGGCAGGCGGGCTTTGAGATGAGGTACCAGCAGAGGAGACAAGGAAAGACACCCAGAGGGGAGGAACAAACCCCGGTGTGGGTCGAGGAAGCTGCAGCTCAGTCGGGGAGGACTGAGGACTGACCATTAAGGTTTCGTGGTAAAGGGTAGCAGGGGGCAGGGGGCGTGGGACTCAGAGGCTTTCTCAGCTCCTGGAATGACTTTGTTGACGTGAAAATGGTGAAAAGGAGAAGGGTAAGAATTTCTGGAGCGACGTCCTTGAGGGAACAAGAGAGGTAGGTGTACCTGATGTGATGCCCTTAGTTGGTGCTAGATAGTTCAGCCTGGGAACAGAGTAGAAGAAATGGACACAGCTGCGGGGAGGCGGGTTGACGGGGACATGAGAGCTTGTAAGGATGGGTGGGGATGGTAAGACTGGGGAGACAGTGAAAACCAGATGTCCAAGAGAGTGGAAGGGGGAGGGGAGTCAGGCCCAGGCAGCACCGAGTGAGGTCAGCTCCTTGTGGTGACAGACAAGGCCCAGCACGAAATGGCAGTGTGCCTGTTTGCTTTTCCCTGAGCAGAAGGTGGAAAGTCTGGTTTAACTCACCAAGTGCATACCTCAAAGCAGGAGGGGTCTGGGGTGTTGAGGGTGTGTGCGAGGCGGACCGACCACCGAGCCTGGGCTTGATGGGCAAGTTAGAGCTAGTGTTAGGGCCCATGGGGTGGCAGGATCGCAGAGGAGACAAGACCAAGGACCCAAGAGACTGGATCATCCCCCTGGAGGGGTGTGGGTGAGTGTGGCAGGAAGCTTCGGGGCCCACGCCTTCTGGGAACCAGTGGAGGTGGGAAGGAGGCCTGAGGAGCAGGGGTGTCGCCTATCCAGCTTCAGGCCCAGAGGGACAGGGGCGTGGGAGAGAAAACAGCCCTGGTTAGGGCGGTGGTTCGAGACCCCCGGGCGACCGCACCCCCCACCCAGGGAACTGAGCAACGGCTGGAGACATTTGCGGTTGTCACAATCCAGAGCATGCCATGCCCCATCCTGCAAACACAGGCCAGCTCCTGTGAGGCAGGATGATCCGGCCCCAAACAGCAGCAGGGATGGGAGACCCTGATTAGACCAAAGTGGTCAAGAGAAAGCCCAGAAAAGAGGTTCTGGAGAGAAGGGACCCGCACGGGCAATGCAGCAGTGAGGACAAGGATTGAGGAGACAGGGGGTGTGCCTCCCTCTCCTTCTCCTCGCCCAAGGGTGGGCTGGGAAGGGACGTGCATCATTAAAGAAATCACACGAGGGGGCGTTCGGGTGGCTCCGTCAGGTAAGTGTCGGACGTGTGATTTTGGCTCAGGCCATGAGCTCATGGTTTGTGAGATCAAGCCCCATATTGGGCTCTGTGCTGACAGCGCAGTGCCTGCTTGGGATGCTCTCTCCCCCTCGAACTGAGGGTCCGCTGCTCCAAGGCAGGGCCCTGGTGGATCCGCGGCCTGTTCATGTGCCTGGCACACAGTGGTGCCGCATAAGTGCTGGTGAGGGGGGAGAACCTGGAAAGGAACAGGGGGCAGCGGGGGGGGGGGGGGGGGGGGGGGGGGGGTGTCCTCTGCATCAGGAAAGAAACTCCCTGTGGGCACCCGAGGCCCGTGAGCCGTGAGCCTCACCTGAGCTTGCTCTTGAGCGCGTTCACCTCGCGGCCCATGGCCTCGTTGCTCTCCGTGGCTTCATCCAGCTCCCGCTGCAGCTTCCTGCGGTTGGCATTGATGCGCTGGGACTCCTCCTCCGCCTCCTCCAGCTGCCTCTTGAGTTGCTTGACCTTGGCGTTTCCTTTCTCTGCCTGTCAGGGAGAGGCCCGGGGGTGAGCAGGGGGCGCCGTGGGGTCCCTGCGGGGCTGGGAGAGGCCGGCGTCCCGGGTTACCTGCTCCTTGTACTGCTCCGCCATCTTGCGCTCGTCCTCCACCTGCAGCAGGACCTCCTTCAGCTTCTTGTCCTTCTGCTTCAGCGACTTGGTGGCCGCCTGCTTCTCTCTGCATACGGGGGGAGGAGGGGGGCGAAGCGGGGATGGGCTCCCTTGCACCTGGCACGTAGACCCGACCAGCCTCTCCCCGACTGTGAGCGCTTTCCCTGAGGGGCCCCAAGTCAGGGCTCACCCCCCAAATCAGACGAACAGTACTCGGCCTTAAAAAGGAACGCAGCACTCGCGTCTGCTACCACGTGGGCGAACCTCGAAGACACAGGGAGGGAGGCCAGTCACAGAAGGGCACAGACTGTGGGATTCCACTTATATGAAACATCCACAAGAGACAAGAGAGACAGAAAGTAGATCTGTGGTTGCAGAGGGCTGGGGGAGGTCAGGGTGATGGCCAGGGAGGTACAGTGTGTCCTACTGAGGTGTTGAAACTGTCCCACGCTGGACGGTACAGAGGGTGCAGCTATCCACAACTATACTAAAGGGCCATTGAGCAGTACACGTGAAAAGGCTGAATTTTTGTATGGTCTGTGAGTTGGCAAGAAAGCCACTACCAAAAAAAAAAAAAAAAAGTGGGTCAGAATCCTCGTAGTCTGATAGTCACAGATGGGCCGTGATCTTATTTTCTCTTTATAACGAGAAGCCTGACCATATTGGCACGTGCTGAATGGGGTTGCTGATCTGCACTTTCCTGGGTGGCCGTGAACACGACATCCTGAGAACACAGGCCAGGCATAGCCAGTGTGCTCGCGGGAAGGTAGCGGACCTCACGGAGGACCCCTGCCACTCAAGGCCGTTTGGGACGGGCCTTCTTGGGGCCAGGCCTGCCTCGCACCCCTGATCACACGCGGTTCTCCACACACAGCTGCGGCGTGGGGACCACTGGGCTCATTCCACAGCCAGGACAGATGTCCAGAGAGCCTGAGCCCCGACCGCCGTGTACTCCTGGCCAGCAGGCCGCTCTTTGGAGCCCACGCCCCACGTACCTGGCCTCCTGCTCCACCTGCTCCTCCAGCTGCGCGATCTTGGCCTCCAGTGCCGCAATGGTGGACTTGAACTTGGACCTGACGGCCCCCTCCATCTCTTGCAGCTTGCTTCGGAGCTCCTTGTTCTGCCGCTCGAGCTGCTGCCTTGCGCTCTCGTTCTTCTGGGCCGCGCTGCGCTCCGTGGCCAGTTCGTTGTTGAGCTGCTCGGCCTGTGGAGGGCAGTGAAGGTCAGGGGGTGGAGGGCGTGGGAGTGGGAGTGGGGGTGGCGTCCGCTGAGAGGACCCACTATGACTGTGGCCTCCAGCCTTGGTGGGCTTCGATGTGGGTCGCTGGGGCAGGGGCACCCAGGAGCCCTCCCCACCTCCTCCAGCCACCAGTTCCTTCCTGGGCCTCCTTTAAGGTGCAGCACAAAAGGCAGCGTCCTGGGGCCACCCAGGCTCCCTGTCTCTAGGTCACAAGGCGGGGCCCCAGCACCTGTTGCGGAGCTGGTGCTTAGTAATGTCACTGAGTGCTCACTGGTGTAAGGCCGGGGCCAGAGGCTGGGGCGACAGCAAGAAGGAGACCCCCGAGGCCCTTTCTCCAGGCCCACGTTGTCTGCCGGAGGGAGCCAGACATACACTGGCTGCCTGATAAGATGGCAACGGGGGCCGCGTGCCCACGCGGGGAGGGAGAGGGTGCAGGGAGCAGATGCGCTTGATCCCTGCTCCCGTCTCCCCGCTCTCCACCCCAACCCTGAGCTTGCAGTGCAGCAGTGTGGGGCGTGTGACAGGGTGCAGCCTGGCCCTGCTCTGCCCCCACCTGCTGCGTGGCCTTCCGCACGCGGTCACTCATGGCCTCCATGTTGCCTTGCTCCTCCTCCAGCTCCTCTTCCAGCTGCGCGATCCGGGCCTCCAGGCGGCGCTTCTCGTCCTGAAGTGTGTTCCTAAGGGAAATGCAGGCGGGTCTGGGGCTCCAGCCTCCCTCTGGCTTAGGAAATAACCTCTGTGTGGAGGAGTGAGGTGATGCATTGGAGTCGCCCTCCTTTGTAAAACGAAACTGAGGCCCAGTGACACTTGTCCAAAGTCACACAGCTGGGAAGTAGTGAGCCGGGACTCTATCCCGTTGGTATGGGCAAAGCCGGGCCTGGAGGAAAGACGAGCTCTCTCCTCTTGGATGTCTTCCCCCCTCCCCCGGCCCCGTGTCCCCTCCCACCATGCTGTTCATTCAGAACCAATGAAACTGGCTACATGCCCAAATGGGGTCAAGACCCTTGTGAGAAGCTTGGCTGGACACTGTCATTTTCAGGAGTCTCTTCCATGAGCTGCCTCTCTGTCCTCATCTGAGCCTGGGACCCCCTTCTCCCGATGCGGCCCCCTACCTTCCTGAGACGCTGCTGGTCAGTTCCTCTGCCAGTTCCTCCTTCTCCAAGTCGGCCTGTTTGCGAGCCCTCTCAGCCGCCGCCAGATCCTGGACAGCACGGGGGAGGGGAGGGGGAAAACCACTGATCTGCCAGGCAAGGGCTGAACCCCAGGGAGAAGCCACCTGCTTCAGACCCCAGCAGTTTCTACGGCCACGGCCACCCCGGAAAGCAGCTGAGCCGCCTCTGAGCTCAGGGGAGGCCCTGCATGTCCCAGACAAGAGAAAATCCCACGTCTGCCCCTGTCGTCACTCCAGGGGCCTGCCCCTGTGGAGTGCTGGACGAGGGAAAGAGGTGCATGGGTGCCACGGGCTCCACCCACAGTACCCCCCCGCCCCCCCCAAGGCCCACATCGAGAAGGCTCTACCTCCTGTAGCTGCATGAGGTCGGCTTCTAAGCTCTTGGCTTTCTTCTCATTCTCTTTGGCGGTGGCAAAGATCTCATCTCTGGAGGCACGGGCATCTTCCAGCTCTCTCTGGAAGTCCTTCATCTGGGCCTGCGTGAGTCAACAGGAGGGACAAGCCAAGAGGTCCTAACTCACCATCTTTCCATGCCAGCCCCGAGGAAGTTCAGATCAACCACAGAGAGGTCCCCGTGGCCCACCCACCCCACCTCACGGGGCCAGGTTGCTGTCGGGGGGCACCGTTCCGGAGGGGCTCAGCAGACCTCAACATGGCCATGTGGTCCGAGGACCATGGCCAAAGGCCTGGTGATTGTGCCTTACCCAGGGCGGGAAACGGCCCCCCGAGGCTGAACCCCGGTGGAAAACCCCAGCTGAATATTCAGGCACCCGTGACAGGCCTGCGTCCTGCGGCTGTTGGCCCGGCTTCCCCTCCGGTGAGGAGCCACCCCCTCCCTCGGCCCGTGCCCCGCATCCCCCACCTGCAGTTTCCGCAGCTGCTTGATGGCTTCCTCCCGGCCCTTGATGGCCGAGTCGGCCTGCAGCTCCAGGTCCTTCAGGTCCCCTTCCAGCTTCTTCTTGGCCGCCGTTGCCAGGGCACGTTGCTTTCTCTCGTCTTCCAGTTCTGTCTCGTACTCGTGCAGCTGAGCGAGGGGGAGAGGGGGGCGCTGCTGGGTCGGGCCGTCCCTCGGAGGCCCTACCCTCACCGCGGCCGGCATTTGGAGAGCTCCGGGGGCAGAGAGAGGGGGGCACAGCTCCCCCCCACCCTGCCCCTCCCAGGGGGGTCTGCTCGTCCCCAGGTTGCAGGCGCCCAGGTTGCAGGCGGCTGAGAGAACCAAGTCTCTTTGGGTCCGGGCCCCGCCGCCTC